GAGGAAAATCTGTCCCCCAGTCATGAGGGGTTAATGAGAAAAAAATGCCATTTGTCTCAAAACTAGCCAGCAAGCAGTTGAGGCTGGCCTCATGGGCAGGTTCCCAGTGGGAGTGAGCAGTGATGGAACAGAACAGGTCCTGAAAGTGAAGATTAATATTTCTTTTTTGAGTGTTTGCATGAAAAAAATAACCAGAATCCTGTTGGAATGGCATTATCCTTTTCTAAGGATAATGTTTATGATGCATCTGAAACATGTGGGTGAAACATCCAAAACTCAACAGTTCCTTGAGCACAGGCTGCTCCAGAAGTTCCCTATGAAAGAGGTTTCAGGTCAATCATCCTCTGGAGCTACCTGTCTGTCCTCCTTGACACACAGAGGGCAACTAAGTTCAATTTAGTTCTTCAGGTAAGAGTGTAACATAAGCTGTGGTGAAATCCAGGCAATGGAAAATGCTCATTGCAGACAGTAACATGTCAAAAATGCAGATGCTAGACCAGAAATGAACTTGATTCCTTAGATAAAACCCTGCATCCAGGAATCAATTAACATCCAGCAGTGTCCTCTGGTAAGTGCAAGTGTTAGGGAGCGAATTAGAAGGTATTACTCAAAGTCCAGATATTTCCCTCAGAGGTGCATGGGCTGATTGTACCTTTTTGAGGACAGTAAGCCTCATATTTGCTCTTAGAACTGGGCACCAGATTTACTCAGAAGATCCCCTTCCTTCAAGGAACTACAGGTGGCTTTGAGAGCTGCGTGGCAAAATGAAGTAAAACACAATGCACCTCTAGGAAAGGATAAGGAATGGCTTAACTGTTCATACAAACAGTGGAAGAGATTAAAGATGAAAGGAAATATTTAGTCACCTTTTGGGAACAGCTGGTGTGAAAATATTTAACAGGCAGGTCTTTTATGCACAAGCACAGCGTTCTAACGAAGCTTAAATAGGCAGGAGCAATATAGTGCAGCTGGCCAGTCTGTGAATACTGTAATAGGAGAATTAAAAGCTTTCCTTCTCATTTGCTCGGGCAGCTCAGATGGTAGCTAATCATGTCCTCTAATTTTAACAACAGAATTGGGAAATATACCAAAAAAAATATAAAAAAAAATAAAAATGCAGCTTGTAATAAGAACAGAAGTGGCAACTTCTGTCCCTGGGACTGAATGACAATGAAACAATTCACCTACCCTTTTCTGTAAATCAGCCTTAGTCATCTTGAGCTGCCCCAAAAGACCTGTATTTAAGTAGAAATTTAATCTGAAATCCATTTTGATCATTTCTTTGAGTGCCACCAGAAAAGTGAAAGCTACTCTGACTATTTAATCACCCATTAGAAACCTGTGAGCATTTAAGAACTCCGTGTTATAAAGGGCCAGGGCGTACAGCAGGATGTGTGTTGTAAGGCTGTTTAAATTGGATGGTTCCCATCTATCTTTAAACTGGCACCTAAATGGAAGAGTTAGATTTGAGAGTTCCTGGCTCCTGGTTCCTTGTCAGAAATAATTAAACTATGTTTTAGGGAGACTGTCGCAAGTAGTTTGCTTCACAAAGTGTTTTTCACAGCTCAGGGTCTTTATTCCAGCTCTTGGGGCCTGGGAATCCAAACCACCTTATATATCTGTTATAGATGAATTATATATTCATTATATATTCATAAGCTGGAGCCTGCACTCTTGTGTGTGCGTGGGTGGTGGTGTGGCTGGAGTCTCAGCTGGGTGGGAGATGAAACCCTAAATGTTCCCAGTGTTCCCATTCTGGGTTAGCCTAAGATCTGTTCGGTTTAGATCATGCAGTGCATGTCCCTGGCCCATGCATGAGTGCAAAGCTGTTCCTTGGCAGCATGTTGTCTGGGAAATATTTTGGTTGAGATGTAAATGTCCCAGTGGGTTTTCCATCCCCTTTCATAAGAATGAGTCCACAGAGACTCTGCTTTTCAGAAAGTGGGTTTTTAAATTATTTTTTCACCTTTTTTGAATGTCACTTCATTATCCTAGTTTCAAACCTTTAAATAACTCCAAGAAAGCTTCTGACTATCACTCAAATAACTTCCTTTTGTCCCTGCTTTTTTTCCACTGCATCATCAACCTGTAGATATCTGACCTACTGTCATTTCCCTGACTTATTGACAGGAGACAAGGCTGAGTATCAGGACATCTAGGAGGTCCTATGCCTGTCACAGAGTTCACATATACCTGTAGACCCATCACTTTACTTCTTTATGTCTCATTTACTTCATCTGTCAAAACAGAAATAACATCTTAACATCAAAAATAACCACTGGTACTCAGTCAGACTCATTAGTATTCTCAAATCAAAGATAAAATATTAAGTAAATAATAGTAAAATCTTTAAGATCTTCACATGGACTTTGGCATCACAAGGGGCTGAGTCCTCTGAGATTCCAATTTTCCTGTCCATCACTGGAGATACTTGTCTCTGGAATTTCAGAGCTTCACAGTCATCAGTGGAGGTTGTTCACAGTGCACTGGGCTTGAGGATACCAGTGCTATCCTCAAATTAGAGATGGGACCTTGAAGGTCAAAGATGGGGAATGGGATGTAATGAAGATCTGAAGTAACCGAGCTGGCATTCTCTGGATTGCTTGGTGAACTGGGAGCAAGAAAAATTTAGGCAGCAAGTGGTGTGTGCACATCCTCAGTTGAAGCACCCAAGGTGCCCAGATACTTTGCAAACTTGACTCTAAATGAGACAGACAAGTTCCTGAGTGTCTTAAGCACATTTGAACTCTGGAGTTCTTTCATTAGAGATTTAAATATATAGAACTAAATGTTTGTGAGCATTTGGAGACATCCAAGACACTGAAGCAAAGGAGTTCAACTGGAAACTCTTGCACCATGCTGAGCTGTAGTAAGCAGGAGCCAGATAATGTGTTCATGTCACATTTGGAAAATTAGGAGTTTTCTAGACATGGAAAGCATTACTATTATTACTGTCATAGTTACCACTGTCTAAAGAACTCTCTCATCCTTGGAGACAAGAGTCCATTTCAGTCTAAGAGGCTGAAGACCTTCCAACTCTCTCCTATGGTGCAAAACTTTCCTCTTGGAGTTGAAGTGGATGTTCTAGTCCCATAACAGAAGTGTGTCAGAAGTCCCCAAACAGCCTAAGCTTCCTGTTACTTGTGGTATTAATTAACAAAACACTAAAGCCAATTTAAGTAGGGCTGAATTTCAGTCAGGTGTGATGTTAATGCAGGCTGAGTAGTTTTGAATATTTTATATGCAGCCAATGACCCAAAGTGAATGTCTTGTATAATACCAGTTGCCCCTCCACCACAAGCCTTGAATCCTGCACTTAATATGCTCAGAGGCACAAAGAGAGGCACTGGAGTTGGGCTGGTGTCTGGGATATTCATTCTGGGGTACAGAGCTGGGGGAATAGAGAGGAAATGTGCTCTGCAGAGTACCCTGGTACCCCTTTCTGGACTTCCAGCCCAGCCCTGCTCAGCATTTCTTCCATTCATGGAATCATAGGATGTTGTGAGTTGGAAGGGATCCACAAGGATCTCTGAGTCCCACTCCTGTCCCGGCACAGGACAATCCCAACATTCAGACCATGTCCCTGTGGGCACATGTTGTCCAAATGCTTCTGGAATATTGTCAAACTTGGTGCCATGAGCACCTCCCTGGGGAGCCTGTTCCAGTGCTCCACCACCCTCAATATCTTCTTTCTGCTCTCCCCAAAGGGAACTCTGCCCCTACTCTATAAAATCTATAAAATAACACAGTCAAGCAGAAAGCTTGAGTCCAAAACATTTGGGAAAGTTTGATCCAATTTAGATGCACCAGGCAGAAGTCAGAGAAGAGGGGGAACACCTGAGAGTCTGAAATATAGTTTGAATTGCCTCTCCTCTGATTGAGAAGAGTGCAGTCATGGTTTATGAGAGTGCGAAAGTAAGCAGTCAGGTGATGAGCCTGGAGAAGAAGAAATAGATTCATTTCATTTCATCTGCAGTAGAACATCACATCACTATTTGGTTATATTTTTTTCCTTGAAATCACTCCCGTATAGTAACGACACTAACAGGCACTTCAACACCTGACTCATGGGTACCTGTTCTCTACCAACTCTGAAGTTTTCCAGACAAATACAATTCAGATGAAAACATGAAGTCTCCCAAATTTCTTGCCAGGTTTTAGACCATCCCAAGGGCATGCCAGGTTTTAGCCACAACCTAGTGCTGGGCCAAAATATTATACATATCTATGTGTCACCATACCTACTGGGGCTCATGGAGGGTGGGAAGTCCAGCACCTCTGAAAAGTCAATGTCCTTTAGCTCTTCTCTTTTATGGAGGTAAGTATCAAAATGCCCAGCTGTGACTCCATGCTTCCATTAACTCCAGTAAGACTTGGGAACAAGCACCATCCTATCAGCTCCAGCTGATGTAGCATGGTGGTACCTCAGCATGCCTGAGAGGGGATTTTTAATCAAGTGGTAGGAGAACAGAGTTGCAGCAGATGTACAGACTCAGTAGAAATAGAAATATTCCATATTAATTTTAAGGAGCAAGGAGGGTTTTAATGAATCCCATCTCCAAACCGTGGGTTAACAAGCCATAAACAGGCTTTGCCAGCATTTAACTTTAGCATCAGTAGTTTATCAGCATGTTGTTTCCACACTTAATCAGATTTTAATTAAAAGTGACTTTTGTTCTGTTTATTGGAAGAGCCTTCCCCTTCGGATTTGGTGATGACAAAAGCCCAAGGAGTGCAAGAGAATTAGAAAGCAAATAGGAGGATCAATCACAGCAAACCTCTACAATCCATGCCCCTCTCTTTTTTGTAATACACTTATTAGATTCTTATTGTCAGGAAGGATTAGTGTTATGAGCTCCAGGAATTCCTTTCACTGGCCCATAAGGCGAGGTAGTGAAGTGTGGATGCTTTTCTTCACAATAACACTCTGGCTTTTCCCCCCTCTCCTCTCTCTTCTCCCCACCCATATCCCCTCTTCTCTTTTCTCTCCTCTCCCACAGAGATTTGTGCAGCAGACTGCGGAGGACATGGCATTTGTGTCGGAGGCACCTGCCGCTGCGAGGAGGGATGGATGGGCACAGCCTGTGATCAGCGAGCGTGTCACCCACGCTGCAATGAGCACGGGACATGCCGGGATGGCAAGTGTGAATGCAGCCCAGGCTGGAATGGAGAGCACTGCACTATTGGTAGGGAGAAAGAAAAAAAACACGACTACTTTTAAAAGAATAATTGATGATCAGGGAGGAGAAAAGGCGCATGCTTAATTGAATCTGTGTGACTTAGTGTAGCATGAGCACTTTTGTTCTTGGATTTCAAGTTCTGACATCATACATTTTCATGTGGGAACAAGACAAAATGTCCTTTCATTTGTTGATGACATGGCTGTATATATTTTTTGTATTATCAGATGTGAAATACACCTATGTGGTGTTTGATCTTACAGAGACAAGCCATCAAATGGCAGCTAGATGCTTTTAAAAATACTCTATTTTGCCTCTCTCAGAAGATCTTTCTGTGGCCTCCAAGACTTCTCTCCACTATGCTAACAACATTTCCAAAAACATGCATCTGATGATTGAAAGTTTTATTTCCTTTCATTTGCTCCATTATTTTTCACTGCCACTTTGCTTGCCACTATAAAAGAGGAAACTCCAGTCAGGTTACTTCTGGCTGGTATTTAACACTGTCTTGCTTATCCCTTGTCTGCTCTGCTACATTTCTAACCATTTCATTTTCCTCTCTCTTTGGTTCTGCATTCCTCATGCACTTGGCACTTATCTTGAGCTCTCAGTGTCATGGCTATTATTATTATTAATAACATGCCACCAACATTCCAAAATCATGCAAAGAGGTGCAGTTCCCACATTAAGCAATTTGAAGCTTCATTAATGAACTGGCTTGGCTTTTCCTTCCTTCTTCTTCTCACTTAAATCCTTGATGCTTTTTCCCTTCTTCTTGTTTACTAACTGTCATATGTTCAACTGCTTCAATCACCATTCATTCCATAGCCATGCTATAAAAACAGTAGTATTAAAACTCCTCAGATGCCATTTATTATACGTTAATGGAAAACTAAATTAGTGAGTCCAGCCTATGTGGAACTGAAAAACCAACCAAACAAAAAAAATCAGTTGGCTTTAGAAGAGTTATTCCAGAGTGAGAAGTCTCCTCCAGTCATTTTGTTTTGATCAACTTCTTTTAAAGACAAGAAAATTTGCCTCTATGTTGCTTTCATAATGGTATGGTAAATATATATCACACTACTACATCAAAATTAACCACTAGCAATACCTATCCAAATATCAGCATAGTTATCCATGTGGAGTATCAACTTAATTAAATGTAGACATCACTTTTTTTTTGCTTGAACACCAGGTAAGTTTGCACATGCAAAGATAGACAGGGAAAGAAGCCTGATCACAATATTTTAATTCCAGCATTAGGGTAATGGTGCAAACCATATCTGTGGCTCAATTCTACTTATCATTTATTTATGCTAATGTCACCCTACCACATTATGGTCTCCACATGCATCCCCTAATGAAAAATTTCTAGCTCTTTAAAACTTCCTCTGTCTCATTAGACATTACATTCTGCTTTCTTTTCTATGTCCCTAGTAGTTTTCATTTCTTTTCATGAGGAGGGGATTAAAGAAACCCCCTCTCTTAAATGACTTTAAAACAAAAAGATAGAAGTCCTGTGTGAATTGGAATCCCATGTTTCTAAATTATTTTATAGCCTTGTGTTCAAGCACTTTGATTTGGAAAGCAACATAGATTCATGAAAGGTTTTTAAAAGAAAAAAAAAAGTATTCAGCAAAAGGCCCCAAATCCAGGGGACAATTTTATATGAAAGAAATTTATGCACAAAAAAAAGCCTGATTCACACCCTCAGTGCCATTTTATTAGTTCTGCTGCAAAACCAAAATGCCACTTGCTCAGTATATGATATTTCTCCATACAGCTGATATGCCCGGGCTCTCTTTGAACAACAAGCTTTTATCTTTCATGGTAATTAAATTTACCCCATTATTTGTAGTATTCCTCACTCTAAGTATAAAGAGTCCGTGTTATCATGGGAAAGGCCAGCACTGCAATGCAGTCAGCATCGAGATTTTACTGGTGCGTGTTATCATTTGGTGTGGTGCTGCCTTCTTGTTGCAGTGCTGCCTTGTTTTAAGAATCATTCTTTTACACTTAGAGTGCTGGAGCAATTCTGTTTCTTTTCACTTTCAAACCCCCCCCCCCCCACCCCCCATCTTCCATTGCATGGTGATTTAGCAACAAATTTGTACATAGTCTCATGCCTCTGAAGCTGTAAACTGTATTTCCTACAACATATTTCCTTGATAAATGTGTAGAATGTAAAAGAAATTTGGCAAAGTCATAAATATCCAAGTAAATTGAATAGCTTTGGAAGGAGTAATAAGCTAGTTATATTGGCACAGATGAAAGGACATTGACTTGGAATTACATTAAGTATGTGGAAAGCATTCCCCTTGTCCTTGTGTAATTTCCCTGCATGGCAACTTGTTTTGTTGACAGTAATTCCTTAGATGTCTGTGTCATGGCCCAGTTTGCTTTAGCACTGACAAGCATAAAACCCCATTGCTGAAGTGATGCTTGAACAATATTGCCATGTGTGCAGGTGACATGGTAGAAATGGATGATACAAGGAAAGGACACTTCTTCCATTTCCTGTTGAGCATGTTTGAGTAAGAAATCCTTTTGTTTTATAGGTCGTAGGAGGCTCTTTCTTATGGTGTTCGAGGGAACTCTGATCCCAGTGGATTAATTTTGTTTGCTCATACAAAAGAGTCGTGTTACTAAATATACTAGCTTGATTGCTCACATTGAGAGATTTCATTAGAGGAACCCCAGTTAATTCCCAACCAGGAAATTGATGCAGAAGCTTGCATTCATCATCCTAATTCAGCAAACTTAGCGCACCCAGGCAAAAGAGTAGAACAGAAAGTTGATTATATGACTGCAGGAATCCTGAAATCCAGCAGAATGGCTCAATTGATTTACTCAGATTTCTTAAAGGAACAAAACACCGTGACAACAGCCACGATGCAAGACTCCTATGATGGGCTTTCAGGATATTCCAAATTTGTTCCCAGTTAGAAACATTGCAAGAATTCAATTTTCTTCTATTTTGGCCCAAACCACATCTAGGAAGTGTGGTGGATTTTGGGAGCACCGAGTTTAAAGGTGAAATAAACCCTCTTACTTTGGGCTCTGAAAGACCAAATTACAACTCAGCTCCGTGGTCGGCTGCTCCATGGGACTGATTCACAGGTAGCACCACATAAAATTTCCTGGGTTTAATAAACAACTCCAGAAATTTCCCACGGCTGTAACAGCCTGGCCTCAAATTTGATATGGCCTGGATAGTGCCCCAGGTGCTGTGCATCCCACCTGAGAGATGCAAAGGGAGACTTCACTCTTCCTACATGGGCCTTGCACTGAGATTGTCTCTGATATCTGAATCTCTCTGCATGTTGTTTTTCTAGCAAGAAGCCTGAATTCTTTGATTAATATTAGGGTTATTTAAAAAAAAAAATAATGACAGGGAGGGCTTCCCTGTGTGGTGGAGTCGGGACAGTCATCATCCTTTAACAGCCTGGACACAAAACCAAAGCCATCCCTTGAAGTTCAATTGCTGCACCTGAACACTACAGGGTCTCTAGAGCATTGAGGGACTAGTTAACTAGAGCAGTTAACTCTCCAAACACAAAATGATCTATCTAGCAAGATATTCAAAGCACCTCAGTGCCTAATTCCCATTGATCTCTGCAAAATCTACATGCTTAACTGCTTTTTGAAAATCTGGTCCCGGCACACTGGTGATGTATGAAACAACAAGTGCCCAGACAGACAGACAGACAGCCCGTCCCACACCGGCTTCTGCTTATGGCGCCGTCGGGCTGGTTTTTCTTTTACTTAGCAAAACTCTGATTTTTTTTGAGAAATCTGCCTCTTTAAGTTTGCCTTTCATCAGCCTTCTTGCATAACTAATCACACATGTTTTAAATAGCCTGGGCTGTAATCAGTCCCTCTCAGTTTCTGCTGGAGCAGCTGGAATCCAGACAAGGTACATTACAGGTAGATCCTCCTCTCTTTTCCCCGGCTTTCTAACACATCACGTGTGCCATTTCAATCCATAAAGCAGCTCAGTCCATGTGCTGCCCAATATAAAATAAGCCCACCAGTGTCTGGTGAAGGTTGTTGCTACCTTCAGCCCAACAAAGCAGCTCTCTGCAGGACTCAGGTGTATCTGCAGCCCCAGCTGAGCTGTGTTCCATCCTCTGGTTGGGATGGGTACCTTTGGGCAAGAGAAGTCCATGGTTATAGCAGTCAGGGAAAAAGATTTGTGCATGCTGCTTTGTTCTGACATGATTTTGCATCAACCTGAAGGTAATCTGGCCTCAGAGTTTGGCAGCATACTTGACAGGAAATATTAAGCACAGATGAACTTCAAAGACAGTCTTTTTCCCTGCCCCTGTGGCATAAACTTGTGCTGTCACTGGTTTACTAATGAAAAGCTATTTTCTCTTCTCCTTCAAATTTGTGTGATCTCAGTTTAACTCCAGTGATTTCACTGAGCTCTGTCCACTTCATCCCTCAGGGAAGATAACAGGAAAAAAGAATATTTAGAAAATGAAGAAGTGGAGTGTGCTGGGGAAGAAGTGCTGCCCAAGGACCTGCCCCCAGCATCTCTCACTTCTCTCTTCCCTCCCTATAAGCCAATGCTCATGTGATCCTTCCCAACGTGTTTTAGAACAAAACAAATCAAGTTAGCTCAGGCTAGTGAAATAAGAGGATTTTCAGCCTGAAAAATGTTCACATGAGCTCCCCCCATAGCAGATCTAAAGGGACAGTGGCTTCCAGGAGCAGAGGTGGTGACATGGAGCTGAATGTGGTGCCTTTGGGTGCAGAGGACACTTTAGAAATGTAGCATTTCTTCTGAACCCCTACATAGCTCCTCAACATGTCCCACACACCTACAGGGTTTCCAAATGAGTGTCTACATATAAGTTTATATTTTAATGCCAGAAGTATAGCATGAGTATGAGACTATACAGGTTTAGAGAAGAAAGTTTCATGCTACCATGGAATATTCCCATAAAAGGCCCCTATTATTTTTCAAATTATGAGAAAACACTGACACATAACTGACATAC